GGGACTACATAAAGGTTTTTCTGTTCTTTATTAGGTCCAATAAAACACTGGCTGATTCTCTGGATAATGCTAATGACCCCAATGATCCTATTGTAAACAGACTGCTACGCTCTATGGCTACGCAGGCTATGTCTAATGCACTGTATTTCTCTACTGGATCATGTGCGGAGGAAGAGTTCCATCATTATGGTAAATGATAAAATTTTCTTCTGTGTGACTGTAACCTTCAGCAATTTGTTTAAAAAGCACAGACATTTTTTAATTCTGATGTTTTGGTTTCTTTCTGAAGGTCTCGCGTTAGATAAATATACTCATTTTACTTCTCCAATAAGAAGATATTCAGATATTATAGTACACAGACTGTTGATGGCAGCCATTTCAAAAGATAAGAAAATGGAAATGAAAGAAAACCTACTCAGCAACAAGGATCTTGAGGAATTGTGCAGACATATCAACAACAGAAACCGAGTAAGAAGACATTTTACAATTCTTTTACCATCATCTCTTTATTTTTTTGTTTTTTTAAATTTATTTGTATGTGGTACCGGGGATCAAACCCAGTGCCTCATGCATTCTAGGCAAGCGCGCTACTACTGAGCTTTATTATAGAATGGAATACCATACACATTAACAAATTCTAGAATTATTCTAACAATACTCTTAATATATTTGCAAGTATTCTTAGATAACATGTGGATTTGGGAGTTTTTTTTTTTTTTTTTTTTTTAAATGACAAAGTCTCACTATGTTGCCCAAGTTAGTCTCAAACTTTGTCTCAAATGATCCTCTAGCCTCAGCCTTCCTAGAAGCTGGGACTATAGGAACACATCAGCATGGCTGTCTTGAATTTCCAAATTTGATGATAGTTTATATGTTCTTCCCAAAAGGCAGGAATATAAAGGTTCAAACAACACATAAAGATAGAAGACAAAAAATTCACCTAACCCCTTGTCACTCAACTCTAGACATCGCTAACATTTTCATTTATAAAATATACAATATGTGCTGTTTTAAATTTTTTCATTTATATAACCTATAATTGATATAATAGTTATAGCAACATGATATGCTAATTATTTTCAAAGCTACTTGTTATTCTATTTCATATTATTACTAGTAGTTATAAGATTGTAAAGTATAGAACTAAACCATTGGGTGATGCAGAATATTACAAAGTAACTAAATGTTTAAGATAATATTCTGTATCCAATGTTTGTGTTCTCTATTGTACAATACTGTAGCCATTGGCCACAGTGATTATTTAAATTATTTAGAATTAAAAATTCAGTTCACTTGTGGTTAGCAGCCACCTATTAGTAACAGATACAGAACATTTCCATCATTACAGAAAGTTTTGTTTATAACCATCCTAGTGCATACATTGTTATGGATTTTTCAGATTATTGCCTGGGTAAATCCTAGAAAGGGAATTACTGAGTCAAAAGGTATACAGAAATAAAATGTTGATGCATATTACTAAATTGCTCAGTAATAGTAGGGCTAATTTACATTTCCACCAAAGAGACACTGGCAGCCCAGCCTTTAAAAAGACAGGACATATATATATATATAATACTTTTTCTGTGCTCTAAGGACATATCCCAAATTTGCCAGCCTCTACTTCAATGAACTAAAAACAAGTTTTATTTTTATAAAATAATCTATTTTCTATGACTTTTTTGATGGGATAATACTGGATATACTAAGTTCTCAAAAAATTGATTTGATTCATAATAGAAAACAGTTTTTATATTAATAATAGTTAGACATCTTCTAACCTTTTTAAAGACATATTTTCTGTAGAAATGTGAATTTCAGGGCTGGGGATGTGGCTCCAGCAATAGCGCGCTCGCCTGGCATGCGTGCGGCCCGGGTTCGATCCTCAGCACCACATACAAAGATGTTCTGTCTGCAGATAACTAAAAACTAAATATTAAAAATTCTCTCTCTCTTTAAAAAAAAAACAAAACTGGAAAATACTTAAAAAAAAAAAAGAAAGAAATGTGAATTTTAGGTTTCTTCTGGGACTCTCAGGAAGGTCTGTTATAATGCTCAAGGTTGTGCTTCTTCCAGGCAGCACAGCATTCTCAAAAGCAGTCTACTGAGCTCTTCCAGTGCATGTACTTTAAAGACAAGGACCCTGAAACTGAGGAGCGATGCATATCTGATGGAGTTATTTACTCAATTAGAACAAATGGTGTGCTTGTATTTATACCGAGGTATGTCACATCCAATGCAATAGGTAATAAGAAATCAGAATTAAACTAAAAATGTAGAACCAAAACAGTACATTAGATATAATTTACTAAAATATTTATTTAGGGCTAGGGACATAGCTCAGTGGTAGAGTGTTTACGTAGCATGCACGATGCCCTAGGTTTGACCCCACAGACTGCAAAAAATAAAAATATTAAGCAACTATTTATAAAGTTACTATAGATACAAAACGGGGGCAACTGGCCATTTTAGTGTCACCTGGGACCCTGGGCCCCCTTCCTGGGACAGAAGGGCTTGGGCCGGGCCAGCATCCACCTACCTCTTTGGGGCATCCTCTCACCCGTGGGACCCTTTCCTGAGAGGTTGGTCCCTAGGATACTCCCGAGTACATATGTATGTCCATCTATATCTATTTTAGGATCTTACGTAGCTAAATATTTTGTGTTCTCATTTACTATAGAAAAATAAATAAACCATGGGAAAAGTGGTATTTTTAATCTAGAAGAAAAACTAGCATCCTAGATAAACATACAATATCTATATACTAAGTACATTATCTCTGAATTTTTATTCTGGCCCTGATTCAGGTTTGGGATTAAAGGTGCTGCTTATCTAAAAAATAAAGATGGTTTAGTGATCTCATGTGGTCCAGATAGTCGTTCCGAATGGAAACCAGGATCTCTTCAACGATTTCAAAACAAAATAATCTCTACCACAACAGCAGGGCAATCTGTTACATTCCATTTGTTTGACCATGTGACAGTAAGTCTATATTTACATTAAGTATTATTTTCATTGTAAATAACAAAGAATTTGATTTAGTAATATGTATTTTTTTCCTCCATGATAGGTAAGAATATCTGTACAAGCCTTGCGTTGCCATTCTGATACAATCAGGCTTGAAATAATAAGCAACAAACCATACATGATACCAAACACAGAACTTTTTCATCAGAGTTCTCTCTTGCTGAAGAGTGAATTAGTGAAAGAAGTGACCAGATCTATGGAAGAAGCTCAGCTTGCCCAAGAAGTCAAAGTAAACATCATTCAGGAAGAATATCAAGAATACTGCCAAACAAAGGGGCAAAGTCTATACACACTTCTAGAGGAGATAAGGGACCTAGCTCTCCTAGATGTTTCAAGCAATTACAGGACATAAAATATTCTTTGAACTTTATCTTATGTGTTTTAACATTCTTTCAAACTTCTAATTTGGTGTTAGGACTACAGTTGCTCAAGATTGGAGAGGTATTTCATATATGTATAAAATATTCTTTCATAATTCACTGAAGTTGTTAAAAAGTAAAACTAGATTACTAAGTAAACTGATTTTTCAGCTAGAATGGCGGTGCAAAGCAGGTTGCTAGCCTAATTTTCATAAACTTAGACTTAATTTTTAGTTATCTTGTCTCAAATCAATTCTTACAAAAAAAAAAAAAAAGGTCTTATTGAAAAAAATAATTGCCTCATTGGGACAAAAGTGCCAGTGACATAGTCCCTTCTAATATCTATCAAATAACTTTTCAATCACTTTCAGGGAAGACCCAGTCCTGTCCACCTATCCACTTTAAAACTCCTCTACTTCAAACTTTCCCAGTTGTCCCAGCACCAGATGGGGATAGGGCATAGAGAGGGCAGTGGGATACATAGCAAACTATTATCGCAAATCTCCTTTCCCACACCACCCCCCATTTTGTTGTGTATTCCTCTGATAATGAGGTATGTTGGATTCCACTTGTTGGAAACTTGTTAATGCCAGTAAATCCATCATCGGAAAAACAACCCCCCCTCTCCCAATCCCCTCCTCATCTAGATCATGATTATGGACAGAGGCCTGAACAGGGACTCCTGGGAAGCAGTTTCTCTAGGCATCAATGGCAACTCCATCATCTAGCTGACTGCTTATTGGCAACAATAAACCATGATCCTCTTGATACACATGCCTCCTGGCCCATCACTAATGGCAATTTGTATCAAGCACACAACCCATACGTTGTTCTTGTGCTTAACTTCCTGGATTTTCAATCAAACCATCTTTGTCACTTCCTCTCTCTATCTGAAGTCAGAAAGCCTGAAAAGCTCTGTGAAGATGTCCATCTATCCTGGCTTTATGGATGGAAGCAAATGTAGCACCATCACTCCACTCTTTCCCTAAGAGGTAAGAGCATTTCTTTATAAATACTTATAACATTTATAATTTTATAAATATTTATAATCTTTCTCATAAGGGGGGAAAAAACTTCCTAAAAACTGGCTTAGTTCTTTCCCTCCTCTCCATAGGAATCTCCTACCAAGAACCAGACCTTCTTTAAACTTGTTGTCAACATGATCCTTTCCCATCTCTAATTAACCTCTCTATCAACCTGATAAAGCAGGCAAGGAGAACTCTAATCAGGTCCTTTCTCCATCTGGTCCCAACACTTACAGCTTCACAGTCATCAGTCCCAAATCTTCCTTATTTCCTAAATCTTTATCTCTGTGTCATTGTACAATGTTCTTCCCAATACTTGGACCCAACTGAAAGGTCAATCTGTTGAATTCACTTATGAATCATCCCTCAGTCTGTGTTACTCATAATATTGGGCAAATTTCCTCCCAACTATTCAAAAAGGTAGCAAGGAGCATTCTTTGAACTTCCCCAGAATCTATGATGGTTAGATAATAATGTTGGCCTTTCATTTGCCCTTTTAATTATTAAAGTGACTCCTCAAACTACAGGCAACACTGTGAACATTTTATCAAAAATATAATTGCAGAACAGTGATCAAAAACTTTCACAAAAGTTTCCAAAGACATTTTTATTTCTTTTTAAAAAACAGACATTAGGGGGCTAGGGTTGTGGCTTAGCAGTAAAGTGCTCCCCTAGCACATGTGGGGCTCTGGGTTTGATCCTCAGCACCACATACAAATAAAATAAAGGTATAGTGTCCAACTAAAACAATATTAAAAAAAAAAAAAAAAAAGACATTAGTGGGCTGAAGGTGTAACTCAGTGGCAGAGACTGCTTGCCTAGGATGTACAAGGCCCTGGGGTCAATACCCAGTGCCATGAAAAAAATTAATTAAAAAGTGACACCAAGGCTGGGCACAGTGGTGCATGCCTATAATCTCAGTGGCTTGGGAGGCTGAAGCAGGAGAATTTCAAGTTCAAAGCCAGCCTCATCAAAAGTGAAGCACTAAGCAACTCAGTGAGACCCTGTCTCTAAATAAAATACAAAACAGGGCTGGGGATGTGTCTCAGTGATCGAGTGCCCCCGAGTTCAATCCCCATTACCAAAAGAAAAAAAGTGACATTAAGCCTGGCACAGTGGCACACACCTGTAATCCCAGCGGCTCAGGAGGCTGAGGCAGGAGGATTGTGAATTCAAAGCTAGCCTCAGCAGCTCAGTGAAGCTCTAAGCAACTTAGCAAGATCCTGTCTCTAAACAAAATTTTAAAAGTGAAGTCAAGTCAGGCTTGGTGACACATAATTGCAATCCCAGTGATCTGGGGAAAAGGTAGGTGGATCACAAGTTCAAGGACAACCTCAGCAATTTAGCAAGACCTGTCTTAAAAAGGGCTCAATGGTATAGCACTCCTAGGTTTAATTCCCAGTAGCACCCCCCCAAAAAATTTAAATACATATTTACATCTTAAAACATGCAATTTAGTGGAAATAAGGCATTTAATACACACTTGTATTAGAAGCTGCTTAACTAATAATCACTTTATGAAGTCATATCTATATATAAAAAAAAGACTTTACTAATATTAGTGACAATTATAAATAAATATCAGAGTTTAAACAAGAATCCAAACACTTTTACTACATAAGGGTTTTCTTACAAAGCAGACAAAATACACAATAATCCCAAACTTGCAGAAGAGTTAATAGATACTTTTTCTAGGGGAGGAGTATCTAACTTTGATAACACTTCTGGATGAAGCATAAAATTACCTTTGCACATTTTAAAAGGATTGGTCCAGTTGTGTTTCCTCTAATTTTAATTGTTCCTCTTCATTTACAGAAGCATCATTATGTGAACTGACTAAAATGTCTTTGTTTAATCCATTTGACTCCTCATTTTGGTCTTCATCAATACAAATCTCTTCAACTGTCTGTGCCTTGGGTGTATTCATTAACATGTCTAAAGGAAAAATTATATTATTATTATTCATAAGGACCTGATTCAATCTTATATCCAAGGTATAAATATCTTCAAAAGCTTGGGTTAGTAGAAATAAAACCTATGATCATTTAATTATGATTACTTTTTTTGTTGTTACCACGGATTGAACCTAGGGGGACTCAACCACTGAGCCACATCCCCAGCCCTTTTTTATATTTTATTTATCACTGGGTTGCTTAGGGCCTCACTGAGTTGCTGAAGCTGGCTTTGAACTTGCCATCCTATTGCCTTAGCCTCCTGAGCTACTGGGATTACAGATACCCAGCTTGATTACACCTAATCCTATGAGATTTTTACACTTGTATAAAGTCCACTTAAAATGCAAAGGGTCTTGGGGCTAGGTGAATAGCTCAGTGGCACTATGTGTGCACTTAGCAAACCCCTGCTCTATACTAGGGATCAAACCTAGGATGCTTTACAATGAACTACATCCCAAGCCCATTTTATTTGATAAAGAGTCTTGAGCTGGGGTTATGGCTTGGTGGTAAAGCAATCGCTTAGCATGTGGAAGGCCCTGGGTTCGATCCTCAGCACCACATAAAAATAAAGATATTGTTTTAAAAGAGTCCTGCTAAATTGCTGGGACTGGCCTCAAGCCTGTGATCCTCCTGCCTCAGTTTCTCAAGTAGCTGGGATTATGGCATGGGCCACCACACCTGGTGCAAGGGGTCTTGAATGATACTAAACTCCAACTTTTAAAAAAATATTTTGGTATTAGGATACTTTACCACTGGGCTATAGCTTCAGCCCTTTATTTTTTTTTAGTTTGAGACAGAGTCTTGCTAAGTTGTTTAGGGCCTCACTAAATAGCAGAGGCTGCCCTTGAACTTGTGATCTTCCTGCTTCAGTCTCCCAAGCTGCTGGGATTATAGGGATGCACCACTGCACCTGGCTTAAATTCAAACTGCTGACTCACAACCAAGTGTAACTTCTCATTCAAAATCAGAACTACTTGAAAGAGGTTCAAAAAATCAAATGCATAATAATTTTATGTCAAAGTGATCTAAAGTAAAGGAAAATTACTTTTATTTGGGCAAATTTTAAGTTATATCTTATAAAGAGGTTAGACTTAAATACCTACTACCAGGTATATATTGAGATGGCAAGAAAGCCACTACTGTTAATTTTATCTTCATGTAATTTATTTTTGTAGTTGTAGATGAACAGAATACCTTTGTTGTATTGCTAAGTATCGGACCAAGTGCCTCACACATGCTAGGTAAGTGCTCTGCCACTGAGCTATAGTCCCAGCCCAATATTCATGTAATTTTTCACATGGTACTAATAAAACATTGGTAAAGATAAAAACTAAGTTCATTTTAGCTGAAAAAATATCATGACTGGTAGTCACAATATTTAAGAATGTTGTAATATTAAGTGAAACTTGTTTTACAATATGGTCTTTACTTACCATATAATTATTTTTCCCACTTTGAAGGAAAAATCTAGAAATTGAGAAAACTTGTGATTCTTTTTAAATATAGTTTTAATGCTTATTTATATAGCATTAACCCCATAATCATTTTTAAAAACAGCAAATTTAAAGCTGAGGATATATAACTCAACTGTAGAGCAGGTACATTATCATACACAAAGCTGTGGGTTCAATCCCTGGCTCCAAATAAATAAAGAGCAAATCTTAAGGCAGTTTGTAAAGTGGGAAGGGATAAGCAAATGAACAGCCACCAAAAGTGCACCTCATAACAGAACACAATACAATAAAAAGAATTTTAGTGGGGCTGGGATTGTGGCTCAGCGGTAGAGCGCCCGCCTAGCATGTGCGAGGCCCTGGGTTCGATTCTCAGCACCACATAAAAATAAATAAAGGTATTGTGTCTAAAAAATAAATATTAAAAAAAAAAAAGAATTTTAGTACCTATTTGTATCACAACAAATGGCTCTAAAATTCTCAATTGGTCTATGATTTAAAGTCAGGGAAGAATATATTTTTGAACAATTCAGAATCCTAGGAGATACTAAGCTATCCAGAAAACCATCTTAAACTCATTCTTTCAATATTTCCAAATAGCTCTCTTCCCCTCCCTCCCTCCCTCTCTCTCTCTCTCTCACACACACACACACACACACACACACACACAAACTTAATATCACACTTTTCCATTCCAGGAGGTAGTTTATTTAGGTAGATAGTAGAGAAGTTAAAATTTTCAACATGCCTATGATATATTAATGGCAACTCATAAAACCAAGCATAAAATTTACCGTTTCCTAGGGACTGACTATTACTCAGTAGCTTTGCCTGCCTTCTTTCCAAGGCCAGTTGTTTATTTCTCTCAATTCTTTGTTGTTGCTCTTCTGTTAGGTTTCTACTTAACTCAGAAGCAAACTTCTCACTTTCAGATGAGTCTGTCAAAAAGGGATCTAATTCGGCAGCAGTTACATCAAGGCCTTTGCTTTCCCCCACTTCATCTGCAGTAGAAAAGAAAAAATTAGTACAACTGAAGCCTTAGAAAAAAAGAGATTATGCAGATTTTAACTGAAAAGTGGCTTGAAGAGGCAATAGGTCACGGCACAGTGATACATGCCTGTGATCCCAGTAACTCAGGAGGCTGAGACAAAAGGATCCCAAGTTTGAGGTCAGTTTGGACCCTATGCTAAAATAAAAGATAAAAAAGGGCTGGGTAGGGATGTAGCCCCTGGGTTCAACCCCCAGTATGAACAAAAGAAAACAAAACATAATAAAATGGTGGCAAGTGGCTGCATCTGAAGAAACAATTCATGAGGTATGAGAATATTGCAAATACATGCTTGATTCAAACAAGTAAAAGAAAAAAAAATTTTTTTATTGGGGAATACTAGGAATTGAACCCAGGGGCACTTAGCCACTGAGAAACATCCCCAGCTCTTTTTATTTTGAGATAGGATCTTGTAAAATTGCTTAGGGCCTCACTAAATTGATGAAGTTGACTTTGAATTTGTGACCTCCTGCCTCAGCCTCCCAAACTGCTTAAATTATAGATATGTGCCACCACACCTGACCAAGAAATTTTTATGAAACACCTTAAAGGTGCATGTTTAGTCAAATGAAAATATTATTAAGTGGCAGAGTACTTGCCTAGCATACGCAAGGTCTTGAGTTAAATCCCCAACACTGCAAATAATAATTAAGAAAAATTAAGTCAGGCGCAGTGGCACATGCCTGTAATCCCAGTGGCTCAGGAAGCTGAGGCAGGAGGATCATGAGTTCAAAGCCACACTCAGCAAAAGCACAGCACTAAGCAACTTAGTGAGACCCTATCTCTAAATAAAATACAAAATAGGGCTGGGATGTGGCCTCAGGGGTTAAATACCCCTAAGTTCAATTCTTAGTATCTGCCCCCAACAAAAAAAATTAAATTTTATTAACATATTTAAAATGAGGACTGGGAAGCTGGACACAGTGGCTTACACCTCTAATCCCAGTTATTCAGAAGACTGAGGCAAGAGGATTGCAAGTTTGAGGCCAACCTGGGCAACATAATGAGACCCCATCTCAAAAACTGAAAATAAAATGAGGGCCAAGGCTGAGGATGTGGCTCAGTGAGTAGGGTGCTTGTCCAGCATCCACAAGGACCTGGGTTCAATCCCCAGCATCAAAAGCCAAAAATGAAAGGACTTTAAGTGCTAAACTACCAATTGTCCATATGACAGAATTAGTCTGTTCTATGAACTGAACTGAAAAATGCAAGAAACAGGCCCTCGTTCATTTTCAAAATTCAGCATAATATGACATGGAGATGCTTCTGATTGCCTAGGCAAGTAAACTGACATTGTGTTTTTACCAAACACCAGCAAAATGCACAAGTGGTAGTTTAAAAAGATCTGAAAAAGAACAAAATGCCTTCAGGTAGAATAGAAACACAAGCAAAAAATAACAAAATGGCAGAGATGAGACTTCACTTTCTCTCTGCGTCATCTACATTATGGGATTAAAAAACGATAACCCCAGGGACTGGGATTATGGCTCAGCGGTAGAGCATCCGCCTCACACATGCAAGGCCCTGGGTTAGATCCTCAGCACCACATATAAATAAATAAAGTTATTGTGTCCAACTACAAATAATAAAATATTTTAAAAAGATATGATAACTCCAACAGATCTGACAAAGCCACTTGAAAATTTTAAATCACTATATCCCCACTTGAAATATGAATTTATATCTCATCCCTGACCTATAATATATATTATGACTTATGATATTAGGTAAAATAGTAGAAAATATCCCAAAACATGAAAATAAACCTCTACAATTACTTAGTGATATATACTTAATCCAGCCCTTTACACAAAACCCTCTTTGGAAACTCCTTCCTTTGTAGTTAAAAAGCCACTTTTCCTTCCTGGAATGGTAAAATATTTATGTGTCAAGAAACTAAAATGCATTCCTTTGTCAAAAAATACTAATAGAATACTAATACTGCTGGAGAAGAAACAGGCATTAGAACCAATTATGAGTGAGGTATTCTTTTTCTTTTAATATTTAGTTTTAGTTGTAGTTGGACACAATTCCTTTATTTTTGTTTATATATTTTTATGTGGTGCTGAGGATGGAACCCAGGGCCTCACACGTGCTAGGTGAGCACTCTACTGCTGAGCCACAACCCCAGGCCCCACCAGTGACGTTTTTAATATGCTTTATCTTACAGAGCTTACAAGATTCTACATCAATAATAATGAAATACCCAAACAAGTATTTTTCATGAGCCACAAAAGAAAAACTGCTTTAGTAGTAAATGATCTCTTTAATATAAACAATGTTGTATGGGGGAAAAGATATGAATGTAACCACTGATGAGGCAGTGTATTGCTTTAACTAGGATATAAAGGGGATAAAAACAAAACCAAAAAAAAAAAAAACAATTAGCAGGCCTGTAATCCCAGCAGCTCAGGAGGCTGAGACAGGAAGATCGTGAGTTCAAAGCCAGCCTCAGCAAAAGCAAGGCACTGAGCAACTCAGTGAGACCCTGTCTATATAAAATATAAAATAGGGCTGGGGATATGGCTCAGAAGTTGAGTGCCCCTGAGTTCAATCCCCACTACCTGCCCTCCCCCCAAATTAAAACCCCAGATAACTTAAATCACATTCCTTCACTTTTTTTTTAACAGGGTGGTGGGTACTGGGAATTGAACCCAGGGATACTTTACCACTAAGTTACATTCCCAGCCTTCCCCTCTACCCTTTTTTTTTTTAAGGCAGAGTTTAAATTGCTTAGGGACTCACTAAGCTTACCAGGCTAGCCTTGAACTTGCAATCCTCCTGCTCAGGTTTCCAAGTCACTGGGATTACAGGTGTACACCATCACACCAAACTCCTTCTCACTTTTTTCTTTTTTTGTGATACTGGGGATGGAACCCATGGCCTTGTGCATGTGAGGCAAGCACTATACCAACTGAGCTATATCCTCAGCCCCTCCATCTCACTTTTAAAAGCAACTTATAATTAACTTTGGGGGATTCAATATGGAACCTGTATTTCCCACATCTATTAAAAGTTACAAAACATGTATGGAGCCATCGCACAGAAAATCTGATAACTGTACAGATCCTGTCGGCAGGAACCATCTGTGTTAATGTGTGTGACTGTCTATGGTTGCACTGTACAACTAACAAATGCAATCAACATCAGGAACAGTCACATGAGTCTTACTAAAATCCTACATTCAGAATGTGCACTATAAGTGAAATGCAAACTTTCATCATCACTGTATTCTGCCTAATCCAGGGGCACTTAATTACTGAGCCACATCCCCAGTCCTTTTTAATTTTTTTAAATTTTGAGACAGGGCCTCACTAAGTTGCTTAGGGCCTCACTAAGTTGCTGAGCCTGGTTCTAAACTTGCGATCCTCCTGCCTCAGCCTCCTGAGCTGCTGGTATTACAGGCATGTGTCACCATGCCCGACCACTCTATCTTGATACATTTTTATTAACAAACACTATAAAGGATTAATTGTCAAATTCTCACAAGCTCACATTTTTTTTTTTAAATTTATTTATACATGGTGCTGAAAATTGAACCCAGTGCCTCACACATGCTAAGCAAGCACTCTGCCACTGAGCCACAATCGCAGCCCTGCAACTATATCTTTAAGAAGCAAATTTCAGGGGCTGGGGCTGGGGCTGAGTGGTAGTGCACGTGCCTGGTATGTGTGAGGCACTGGGTTTGATTCTCAGCACCACGTATGAAAAAAAATCTGTCAGCAACTAAAAAATATTAAAAGAAAAGAAAAGAAAAGAAAAAGAAATTTCAGCCAGGTGTGGTGGCACATGCCTGGAATCCCAGTGGCTTGGGAGGCTGAGGCAGGAGGATCATGAGTTTAAAGCCAGCCTTAGCAATGGCATGTGCTAAGCAACTCAGACCTGTCTCTAAATAAAATACAAAATAGGGCTGGGGATATGGCTTAGTAGTTGAGTGGCCCTGAGTTCAATCCCCAGTACCACTCCCCTAAAAAAGAAAAAAAAAAAACAAATTTCATATACATTCTAGATTTCCTAATGCATTTTAACTTGTTCCTATCAACTGTACTGATTATATACACAATACAGATTGAGAACACAGTCCTCTGTTACCTACCCCAACTGGATCCATTTCTAAAAGCAAAATTGTTATAAAGCAAATAAACCTATATACTTACCATCATTGCTAACAAAATCTTCATGTAAAATAGGGAGATCAAGTCGAATTCGTTTTAAACAGGTCTGACAATAAAGAAGATATTTTTACATTTTCATCTAAATGTTAGGAAGAGAAATGATCATTTATTCAATTCTTAGTTTCTAAAGAATTGTCCTTCAAATAAACACTATTAATTTTCCCTCTCTACCACAACAAATTTCAAAATGAAAACCCCAAAATAGCAATCTAACCTCAGCTACATTTACCTTTGTTCTGTTTAGCACTATGAACAACATTCATAATAATCACAATACTTACCTGCACTTCCTTTTTATTTCCCAGGTATTCAACTCTGTCAATAAAATCCTCAAACTGCAGTTTGGGGAATAGCCTATGTGCCCAGTGCTCCATGTTTCTGATTAGTGTCTTCAAGTCTTCAGCCTGGCACATAAAAATAAAAATGCTAAATAGAAGACTCATTCTCACATTGGCCTTGTCAACAGATTTCAGAACTGAAAAGAAATGCCAAAGTCATTGGTGTCATATTTATAAGGTTAGGAAACTTTTAGAAGGAAATTTACGAAGAAAAATATTTACTAAGGGCTTGGAGGATTACAGTTCTAAAAGAGCACTGGATACATATTTTTAAAAATCAGAGGAGCTGAAGTTGGGCATGATGGTGCATGTTTGCAATCCTAGATACTTCCAAGGCTGACACAGGAGGATCACAATTTCAGGGCCAACCTCAGAAACTTAGCGAGATCCTATCTCAAAAAATAAAAAGGGCAGAAGGTGTAGTTCTGTGGTAGAACACCTCTGGTCTCAATTCCTAGCCCCACAAAACATAAACAAACAAAATTAAAAAACAGATGAAAAAATACCAGTAAGAAAATTTCCAAGATAATAATATGTGTCTTTTCAGAATTGTAAAGTAAAACCCCAAAATGAGCTTTAATATGTCAAAATATCTCTCAGGAATCCTAACTGGAATAAGTTATAGTCCATATATGTATAAAAGGTCAAAATACACTCTACTATCAAGTGTATCTAAAAAGAATAATAATAATAAAAAAAAAAACTTTCAGGAATAACTAAACACTGACAGACCCCAAAATCATATACTTAGAAAAAATCATTGAGAATTCAGAACTGTAAGGAATATATTTAAAAACCCCAAGGGCAGAGACTAGAAAGAACAGTTTAAACATTCTCAAACCATTAATACCTCTCCATATTTGAAATTCCAATTAAGATTTTTTTTTAAAATGTCAATTAAAAATAAATTTTAATAAACTTGACTCATGAAAAGTAAAGTTATAAATTCCTGGTTTTGCTATAAAATATTCATTCTTCACTTTACAGTATTTTAAAATAGGAGAATGATTAAAGCACAGGCTCTACATCAGACTACATAAAGTCAAATTCCAATTCCATCACTTAAAAGCCATTTACATCTCTGTACCTATTTCCTCATGTATGAGACTAATATACATACCTCACAGGGTTATTGTAAGGATTAATAAAAACAATGTGCCACAGGCATGGTGGAGCATACCTGTAATCCCAGAGGTTCAGGAGGCTGAGGCACGAGGATCACAAATTCAAAGCCAGTCTTAGCAACTTAGCGAAGCCTTAGCAACTTAGCGAGACCCCGTCTCAAAATAAAATATAAAAGGGCTAGGTATGTGGCTCAGTGGTCAAGCACCCTTGGGTTCAATCCCTAGTACCAAAAATTAAAAAATAAAGAAATAAAATAAAAACCCTGATATGGCTCAGTGGTTAAGCACACTGGGGTTCAATCTCAGGTATCAAACAAGCAAACAGTGCACCTGACACTATGTAAATTCTGAAATGTTGCTATTTTTATTTGACCATGACTAGAAGCAAATGTCAAAACTACCAACTCTATCACTGACTAAATATGTAATACTAAGAACACAATCTCTCTTCATTCTCCCCTTCTGATAATAAAGGTATAAATTATTTTAAAGATTCAATTACCTAAAATCATTTTCCAGTTGGAAGTAGCTGATTAACCACCTCACAATGTCACATTAGACACAAAGGAACCAAGAAAAGAAAAAACTGTGCTGGGGGCATAGCTCAGTGGTAGAGCATTTGCTTAGTGCTCTCAAAGTCCTGGGTTCAATCCCCAACATTGCAAAAACATGATAGTTAAAAAAAACAAAAACAAAAACAAAACTAAATACAGTTAAGTCCCAAGTTAATATAAGAAGAAAAAGTAGTGAGTGTTCAAAATTGTGAGAAAATAGTAAAAATTTCTAAGGGCAAAATACAGAATAAAGTAAACTCAAAGCACATTCTGGCCCAATGAAAAAACACAAAATGCCTATTCTTCATACAAACTTACTTATTTTAATAAAGGTTTATTATAAACATGATCAAGACTTCATACATTCAAAGTACCAATTCACCACTAATACCTGAAAATTTCATCTACCACTATCCTATCTCATCTAGTACTAGTACTACTACTACTACTACCTTATCCCTCAGGTAGTACAACAGCCTGAGTTGTTGACGACCTCCAGTTTCTTTCTCCTTACAAATTATCCTGCATACCATACACCTAAATGTTACTGTCAATATTATTTTAGTTGGGCAATTAAACATGAAGACTAGGCTCAGTTTTAATTATTGGCCATTGGTCACTCACTCAAAACCCTAAGTCTGTGACTAGATAATGGGACCATCACTCACGAAAATTAACAGAGAACATATCTGAAATACTTTAAACTGCAAAGCCCTATAAAAAGATTATCTACCAAAAACCTACCTAGCTTTATTATTCAAAGATAAGAGAATTTTAAAACATACATTTATACAGTGTACATCTGTTATTAAATGTTTTCATTTTTTCAAAAACTTTACTGATATCTATTAACCAGACACTGTCTCATATCTTGGGGACATATAAGTGATCAATACAGGCAGAGTCTTTGCCCTCATGAAGTTTAAAATCATTCTTTGAAGAACAAAGTAAATTCTATTCCCTCCTATCTGTGTGTGTGTATTTGTGTTTGCTAATGAACCCAGAGATACTTTACCATTAAGCTATACCTCATCTTTTTTTTTTTTTTTAAATTTGAGATAGGTCTCAAGAAGTTGCCCAAGCTGGCCTCACACCTGTGATCCTCTTGCTTTCACCTCTCAAGTCATTGGATTACAGGTGTGCACCACCACACCTAGCTTCCTCTAAATTTATAACTTTAAACTCAGGCTTAGAGACTCAGAAATGATTTTACCTAAAGCTATAACTTTACATAATATGTATGTATATCTACATATGATGTGACAAAAAATGAGACTACACAGACATATTTTCTAATTCTTTAAATAGTACCTTTTCCACTACATCACAACTACTTTTCAGGTGATATTATGATTAATGGAAATATTTAAAGATTCTCAAGACCATAATGAGCCCACAGTTTACTGCTATTTTAAAAAACAAGACTAGGGCTGGGGCTGTAGCTCAGTGGCAGAGTGCTTGCTTGGCATGCGTGGGGCACTGGGTTCGATCCTCAGCACCACATAAAAATAAACAAATAAAATAAAGGCGTTCTGTCCCTCTACAACTATAAAAGATATTTAAAAAAAAAAAAAGGAAAATAAGACCTTTCTTACCTCATGACCTTTCCCTTTGAATTTTGTCTTATCAAACACATGCCTTAAGGCAGGAAGTCCTCTCTCTGAAATTAATCTGTAAATAGAAAAACATTTTGAATTTCAAGTTTCCTAGAGTAAAGTCCAAACCAAGACCATAGAAAAAAAAATATTTTCTCCTAAATGGAAACAAATGTTTATAGAACAATCTGATTTTCAATTCATCCCAACCCAAAGCTTGTAACATTAGGAAAAAAACAATAGCTATAAAGTATAAATGTGTATGGAAAACACATACCTCTGAGCATCCAACTTGGGAATATTCCTTTTAACTGTTCTCTTTACAGGTACAGGAACAGGTGCTCTGGTCCCTGACCCTGATGAAATATATCAAGAAGCAGCATTAAATAATTTAAGCCTTACTTACAAATTTATTATTTATAAGCTGATGGATGGATAAGTGAACATGGACACTTTTGTGAAACTCTATACAGACCTTCATCAGGTTCAGCTCCTTCACCATCTCTCTGCGGAGATGCTGGAGGTGGGAAAGGAGGAAAAGTTTCATCTTCTACATGTTCATAATCTGGCAGGTCAACTAAGCCATTCTCTTGCGGTTCTAACATTTTTTTTCTCTAGGGGAAAAAAAAAGTAAAATTATTCTTATTTATCCAAAATAATATTCCTATTATACAGTTAAGTTCCAGATGAAGCAAGTTCATGGGTAAGCCACATTTTAGACTCACACATCATTAAAAAAAAAAAAAGAAGAAGAAGAAGAAAACAATGAGGAAAAAGACTAGGCTAGAAACTGGCACTGAGTTCTAATATAGACTATACCACTGAATATGATTTTGAACAAAATCATTTCACATCAACTACTTGATGAGTTAATAAGTACCTGAGACTTGTACTTGATGAGTTAATAAGCACCTGAGACTTCTTTTCAATGGCTTCTGTTTTAAGAATAAAAACCCCAAAGTCATGAGTAAACTGGCCTCTTTATACCTCTTTGGCCCCACTTTACATAACTCTCTTTGCCCCTTCTTTCAGTTCCTTGAAAGAGCCATATCCCTCATGGCCTTGGATCTTTGCAACTGCTATTTCCTATCTTAAATGCTCTTCCCTGACTCCTAATCCCTTTCAGATTTCCATTACCACCTCCTCAGAAAATCTATCCCAATTTCCTCAATTTAAATCCTCTTTTAATAAGCACTGATAATACCAAGTCTCACAGTAATTATCATTTCAACCTTAGGTTTTGTGTGCCTATTTAATGTTTGTTTACCATACTAGACCAGGTAGGGCTCTTTGTGTTCCTCCACTGCATCCCTACTGCTGGTACACAACAGGTGCTCAATATATATTTGTTAGTGAAGGAAGTAGAGAAAAGAATTACAAACCAGGCAAAGTGCCATGCACCTATAGTCCCAGCATGCTAAGACAGGAAGATCCCTGAGCCCAAGCATTCCAGGTCACCCTGGGGAACACACAGACTCAGTCTTTAAAAATAAATAAAACAAGTATATTTACCTCTGTTTCAATTAAGTCCTTTGGAAACAAGTGGGGTTCAGAAATTCGAGGTTGACAGGGAGCTCTGAGTTTGGTGACAAGGCACAAACTATATTAAGTTCATCAAGGAAGTGTTCGGGCATGGGGCATAGGGCGAGGAGTGTCAGTAAACTGATGCTCCTTAGCTGCAGATCACATTTCCTTCACTTCTTTCACGCCTTGACAATGGTGGCATAACTGCCTCTTTTTAAGACACTGATCAAACTCTTAACTTCCTCCTCTGATCCCCAAACTTTCAGAGGATTGAAGATTAACACACGTAATATCCAAACCACAATTCGTTCCCAGACCCTTCCGTTTCCCATGTCCAACTTTCCCATGTTCCCAAGTCGTCGGAACAGAAGCCCTCTGTCTGACTTTAATTCCCCTGGGTCCCACCGCTGAAAACATCACCCCTCCCAGCCTCCTCTCCAACTCTCCCCCGGTTCAACCGGGTTCATTCACTGCACATCCACAAGGCGCCCTCTGTGTTTATAAGGCCATCTACAGAAGCGGAGGGACCCGGAAACGCGCTCGCTCTCGCCAGAAGGCTCGGCTTAGCGGCAGGCATCCCTGAACGGCAACGCAGGTAAACGTGCCTGCCCCCACCGGTCCAGGCCGGCCCGGCCGCCCCCCGCTCCAGGCGCGCTCCGCCGAAATCCTGTTCTCCAGCTCCTCACCAGCTCCCTGAGACTCCCCAGCTCCTGTCAAGTTCCGAAAGAAGCCTCCTCACCAAGAACTTCACTCGCGCGGAACCGGCTTTCAGCTCACGCCGCCTGCAGCCTCTGCGCGGTGGGCGCCCCGCTGGACGCAGCGAGTGAACCGAACTTCTCGCGAGACGCCGACACACCCGCAGTGTAAGAGCTCTCGGAGTTTGGCGCCAAATACACGCAGGGCCTGGGCGGGGCCTTTACGAAGCCCCGCCCCGCCACGCGGCCACGCCGTTGTCCACCTGTCCGAATCTTGAGTTTTCCCTGCTTCGGCCGTGCTTCTTCCGAGGGGTTCTTTCTCCTCCTTTGCTTAAAGTTCATAGTTGTTACTTCCTGGACACTTTATACTTTGGAAGTGTTGAAAACTGAGTTGTGGAGGAAGTTAAAAAAGGGTAGAGGGAAGCAGTATTGGTTGCGAAACTGCCGTTTTTTCAGAGTTGATGGCGGAATGCCTGGAGCGTGAGTGCGGCTTTTCCTGGGTGCCGGCTGGGGATTGAGCCCAGGGGCCTCCACTGGGCTACTTCCCCAGCCCTTTTTATTTCTTTACTCTGAAGTGGCCTAAGTTTCCCAGGCTGGCATGGAACTTGTCATTGTCACGAGTCGCACTTTGTAGATGCACTTTGTTAACGTAAGTTAACTTTTTTTTTTTAAACTAGCCAGGCGCGTCGGGACACGCCTGTAATGCCAGCGACTCGCCACGCTGTCGCAGGAGGATCTCCATCACCTCAGTAATTTAGCGAAACCCTGTCTTAAAAATGGGCTGGGGGGTATAACGTAAAGCGCCTCAGGTTATTTCTCCCAAAAAAGGAAAAAAGAAAAGAAAAACAAAAATGATATCTGCAGCAAATTATCTAACCATCCCGATTTGGCAAACCCAAAAGATAAAGTGTTAGCAAGAATATCCTAGGTACTTTTTTTTTTTTTTTGGTACTGGCATGCCTCCGTTTTTTGAGCTACACTTTCAACCATCTCTACTTTTCTGTATGTTGAAATTAAAAATTTAAAGAATGGATCAAATATGTGAAGAGAATATGACAAAATTGCCAGTTCTATGTGCCTGAAATTGTGTATGAAAATGTGTATGCACATTTTTGCTTTATTTTTCCATAAAAATATATGCAAATTAATATAAATTAACAAAATTAGCATCAGTTTGAAACAAATGTCTCAACTTCAGTACAAATGGCTGAGGCAGCAATTTTCTTTGCTGTTGATGCTGGGGACCACTGAGCTGGGTCCCCAACCCTATTTTGTATTTTGTGTGTGTGGTGGGGGGCTGGGGGATTGAAACCACGGCCTTGTGCGTGCAAGGCAAGCACTCTACCAACTGAGCTATATCCCCAGCCCAAAACTTTCTCATTTTGGAGGTGGGGGTTACCAGGGATTGAACTCAAGGGTATTTGACCACTGAGCCCCATTTCCAGCCCAATTTTGTATTTTATTCATTTTTGTGGTGCTGGAGATTGAACCCAGGGCCTTGTGCATGCCAGGTAAGCACTCTACCAAGTGAGCTATATCACCAGCTCCTATTTTGTATTTTATTTGGAGACAGGATCTCACTGAGTTGCTTAGCACCTGTTTTTTGTTTTTTGTTTTTTGTTTTTTTGGTACCAGGAATTGAACTCAGGCACACAATCACTGAGCCACATTCCCAGCCCTATTTTGTATTTTATTGAGACAGGGTCTCACTCAGTTGCTAAGCACCTTGCCCATTGCTGAGGCTGGCTTTGAAATCCTAATCCTCCTAATCCTGCCTTAGCCTCTCCTAGCCCCTGAGATTACAGGCGTGTGCCACCATGCCTGGCAAGAAATACACTCTTTATTATCCAGATATATCTGTATTATACACTTTTTGTTTAATCAAATAAATGTGAAAGCACTATGAGAAGTTAAAAAGTTATACACTCTCCCAAAACAAAACAAGAACTGAAAGTATACTCAGAGTATGAACTCAGGCCCATCATTTTCTGGTTGGTGACCTTTGTGCTTCAGTTTCCTCATTACAGTATTAATAAATAGTACCTACTTCCAGTTGTGAGGCATTAACAGTATCTATCATTAGCCACAAATTTTTTTTTTTTTTTTTTTTTGAGAGAAAGGAGAATTTTTTTTTTTTTAATATTTATTTTCGGCAGACACAACATCTTTGTTTGTATGTGGTGGTGAGGACCGAACCCGGGCCGCACGCATGCCCGGCGAGCGTGCTACAGCTTGAGCCACATCCCCAGCCCATAGCCACACCATTTTTAGAATGCTTTACTCTTAGGAAATGTCAAGATTTTGTTAAGTAATTGTAGACCCATGTGAATAAATGATCACACCTGTAAATAATTGGTATTGCCAAATCCAGATTGTCTTTTTTTCCTTATATGAAGACTAGGGGCTGGGGATGTAGCTTTGTAGTAGGGTGCTGACCCAGGCCCATTTGAGACCCTGGGTTCAAACCCCAGCACTGCAAACAACAAAAAAACAGAACTATCTTTTCTTTATCAGTTTCACCAAAAATATTCCTAAAGTACAAGTCATTAAAAATCTTTTAAGGGGCTGGAGTTGTGGCTCAGTGGTAGAGCACTTGCCCAGCATGTGTGAGGCCCTGGGTTCGATCCTTAGCACCACATATAAATAAATAAATAAAAATAAAGGTATTGTGTCCAACTATAACCAAAAAAATAAATAAAAATAAAAAGTCTTTTAAAACAATTTAAGGTTTAAAAAGTAAATAGGGGCCTAGTACAATGGTGCACACCTATAATCCCAGCAACTGGGGAGGCTGAGCAGGAGGATGGCAAGTTCAAGGCCAGACTCAGCAATTTAGTGAAGCCCTAAACAACTTATTGAAACCCTGTCTCAAAATAAAAAGAACTGGAGATGAGACTCAGTGTTATATACCCTGGATTAAATCCCTAGTAAAAAATAAAAATTAATATTTTTTTTTTTAGATAAAAAGAGTTGGGGCTGTTGCTCAGTGGTTAAGCACCCCTGGTTTCAATCCCTGGGATCAAAAACAAACAAAACTGAATAGGGTTAAAAAAGAAAAATGAAAACTATCAAAAGATCAAACATTGAGTACTGAATGTGCAAGTTTTTCTGGCAAACAGGGAACCAAGTCTACCACAGATCTAGATAGGCTTTCAAGATGTGGTTTGGAAGAAAAGAAGTGAGGTAAATCTTTTAAAACCAAAAGACCATGAATTACATCCCACATTAAAAAAAAAAAAAAAATTCTTGCTAAGCACAGTGGCACACACCTGTAATCTCAGCTATTTGGGAAGCTGAGGCAGGAAGATCACAAGTTTGAGGACAGCTTAGGCAATTTAGCAAGATGATGTTTCAAAATAAAATTTAGATAACTGGGCTGGGGATGTGGCTCAAGCGGTAGCGCGCTTGCCTGGCATGCGTTCGGCCTGGGTTCGATCCTCAGCACCACATACAAACAAAGATGTTGTGTCTGCCGAAAACTGAAAAATAAAAATAAATATTAAAAAAGAAAATTTAGATAACTGGGGATGCAGCTCAGTAGTAAAAGTGCCCCCCTTGGGTTGGAGTTGTAGCCACAAGCTGCTGGTCGAGCACTTGTCTAGCATGTGTGAGGCTTTGATTATCAGCACTACATATAAATAAATGAATAAAATAAAGGTCCATCAACATCTAAAAAAATATTTTTTTTAAAAATGCCCCTGGGTTCAATCACTAGTGGGGGAAAGTCTCAGACTGGGGATATAGCTCAGTGGTAGAGCATTTGGTTAGCCCACAAATCCTGGGTTCAATCCCTAGTAATATTGTAACAAACCCAGCCTCAGCAACTTATCAAGGCCCTGGCTCTAAAAGCTCCCTCTCACCTTCTGAATGTACCCCTTATTGCTCTAAGGCTTATTTATTTTTAATATTTTTTTTAGTTGTAGATGGACACAATGCCTTCATTTGTTTTGTTTTGTTTTGTTTTTTAATGTGGTGCCTCGGATCGAATTCAGTGCCTCATGCAAGCTAGGCAAGCACTCTACCACTGAGCCACAACCTGACCCAAGTTTTTTTTAAAAGTTTTTTTTTTTTTTCCTCTCCTCTCTGCTCTTCCCCCATCCCTAACAAGATTAGGGAGAAGTGTTATCTTTTCTTCCCCAAGTTAATTGCCCTTGTACACACCCACTACAAGAAGGAGATGCCTACAGAGGATCTGGGAAGTGAATATCTCCCAAATTAACAAGTGAATCCTAACACGCCTTTAGGGTACCCTGAGACCCCCCCTTAGGATTCCCTACCATAGCACACCTGGAAGGTAATCCTTGAAAGGTTCCTTTAAAACCCTCCAGTACTTCCTGATCAAGAGTCACAACCTTTGGAACTGGAGTCCTCTGTGTTTCTCCTTTGCTAACAAAGCAATAAACTTTTTTCCTTTTTTGCTCAAAACGGTGTCCTCATTATTAAATTGGCGTTGATTGCATTAGGGACAGGGACCGAGTTTTTTGTTACACTGTGATGGCAAAACCAGACCTGGTTGTGATGGTGGGCTGGGGCTGTAGCTCCGTGGTGGAGCTCTTGCCTAACGTGTGAAGCACTGGGTTCAATCCTCAACACCACATAAAGATAAATAAATAAATAAAATAAAGGTATTGTGTCTGTCTACAACTAAAAATATATTTTTAAAAAATGAGTTAGGTCCAGTGGCACACGCCTGTTATCCCAGTGACTCCAGAGGCTGAGGCAGGAGGATCATGATTTCAAACCCAGCCTCAGCATCTTATCAAGGCCCTGGCTCTAATAAAATATATAAAAAGGGCTTGGATGTGGCTTAGAGGTTAAGCGCCACTGGATTAAATCCCTGGTTAAAAAAAAAAGTTATGGTCATAAACCAATGCCTGAGGAAAGGGTCAGTTTTGTCCTCCCTACCCCCTAGCCTTTCTCTGGGAAGCATAATTAACCATGAGTCCCTACCTTTTGGGTTATAAATAACTGCCTTAGGAGCCGGACTGCACTCTTGAAATGTAAAAGAAGCCTGTGAAAAGAGCCCTTTCTTCTTACCTGTTTCTGTAAGCAAGCTGTATGTTAGAGACCCTGCACCAGGCTGCCAGTTGCATAAATTAGGGCTTTTTTTCTTTTTCTTTTTTTTAAGAGGAAAAAGCTCCAATGATAGGATGGGTCTAAAATGATGCCAAACAACCTATA